CCCCCCCTCCAAATCAAAATCCTGGATATGGGCCTGGCTGTAATTATTTCTGAATACAATATATATAAGAAGAGAAATAACAGAAAAGTCATAATTTTTCTCACTCCTCGGAAGTCCAAAAGCTTTGTTTCCATATAGCCCTGGTCATTTGAGGACTGTAGTTTCTTGCTAAGCAGACAAATTACTTTCCCTTCCACCCCTCTCCAAGACCTGCGTTTTTACTTCTTCCTCATCCTACTTTTTCTTCTTTCTGAAACTAAACTTTGCTCTCTTCTCAAAAGAAATCACATAAATTAGCCTGGTTAATTACAGAACAATTTTTGTTTATTTGTCTTATTAAGAAGAATTTAAAAGAAATTAAAAAGTTACTTTACATATAACTCGATAACTCATCATTAACTCACATAATATTCCATAAATCAAAAATTTTCATACTGTTCTCCTTTTCTCCCATTCCTCTTCCCATCCAACTATAGGATGTATTTTCTAATATTTTATTGAATATGAGAAAAGGAGAGGTACCCACATTAATGAATTTGACTTAATTCATTGAATCATATTTTTAACATCTGGTGTTAGTTGGGTATAAAGTGAGTAAGGTGAAACCAAAAAGAATTATATTAATGTAAAGGGTTGGTTGCAAGCCCTTTTCCTTGCTTCCAGTAGTTTTTTCTGCAGACATTGCCTAGGTCCTATGGTTTTTCTGGTTTTGAGCTTTAGCAGTTACTGCATGTCTACTCTATACCAATCCTACTGATTTAAATTGCACTTACTCTTGAGATAGTCATTTTGTAACTGCACCCCCTTAAACTCTTTTCTTTGCTATTTGATGTTAAATGTCAGGAAGCTTCTGGTTCCTTAGCCCTGTAGTACCCTCTGACCCAGTTGAGAGCCAGCATCTGCTTTTCATGGCACAGCTCAACCTTGAAATATCTGAAGTGATAATACAAGACAGCTGTTCCTTTGAGTGTATCCAGCAAAACTTCCCACCAAAGATCTGTCATAAATAGCCCTCTCATCTGGGAATCGAGCTCTTACGTTGAGTGTGTGGTTGGTCCTCTCTAAATGTCATTGTATGCATGGGTAGAGTTGGAAAAGCTACATTTTAGAACACAACTCTTAGGATGCCTACCCCACACACCCTCTGACCATACTTCCCAGGGGATTTTGGAAGTCGTAGCTTAAGAAACCTATATTAAAATTGATATTTCTTTCCAAATTAATCTTTACCAGTATATACATTTTTCTATGCAACATTATTTCAAAGATTTGTAGGTAGAGTTTTGACTCATTTTCTAATTTTCACTTTGGAAGGAACACACAATATGAAGAAAAAGTGGTATGTGATCTACCTGTTAATCTGGAAAGTATAGTTATGGGCACTTCCCTTAAAGTGAGCCCATACAAATGTTGCCTCAGCCCTACCATGTGTGGCGACAGTAGTTGCCATCGCTGGCCTATGTTCATTCATTCAAATTCTTGAAAGAAAGCCTCCCCTGCCATACATTTTCCTCTTGTGCAAACACATTTTGGAGTTCAAGACCAGGAACCTGCTGGCTGGCTCTATGTCCTTTCACATAAGTTGGGATGGGGAGGTCTTAAGAAGTCTACTTGTGTAGGCTCCTCTCGTCATAATGTGGACAACTGTACAGCTGGGAGTATTGTTCAAGTGCAGTGTTCAGAGGTGTGGTTGCAACACTTCACTCCTCTTTCACTGTCATTTTGTGTGTATATTACACATCCCTAAAGGGTGCATCTTGGTTTCACCTTGTTCAAGTAAGCCTCAAGAATTCCCCAGTTGCTATGGTCAAGGGTCATACTGGCTGGGGAATTGTGTGATCTGTTGTCCAAATGTTTCCAAGCTATGGAAAGGGGTTTATGTATGGTTTCTTTTCAGTCCTCCTACTCCTTAATAGCTAAAAGGAGATGCTTTTGGCTGTAACTGGTAAACCTAAAAAGACTTTTATAGATTTTTTTCCCCAATATCTTACCCAGGAATGCCAAGCTCAAGATGTATGCCATTCTTACTGTATATACGCATGCATAAATCTAGAAACTTTAGTAAAAACTTGGCTAGCAAAACTTGGGGCTGACTTATCCATGATTCAGTGAAAATACTGTGTTTCTTGTTTAAAAAAAACAGTGAAAGATAAGTATTTTGTCCTAAAAGAAGCTCCTTGAGGGAAAGCACAAAAGGGGTTTCACTGCCAGGTTGTTGTAAGTTTTTCGGGCTGTATGGCCATGTTCTAGAAGCATTATCTCCTGACATTTTGCCTACATCTATGGCAGGCACCCTTTAGGGATGTGTAATATGCACATAAAATGACAATGAAAGGGGAGATAAGTGTAGCAACCACACCTCTGAACACTGCACTTGAACAATACTCCCAGCTATACAGTTTCACTGCCATTTTCTGACCCAAGCATTCAAAAAGCCAAGAAATGTTGCAGCAGTGGAGAGAGTAGAGGGGATTGGCACTTCATTTAGGTTGTCCCAGGATGGACCAAGCTCTTGCTTTTCATCACTCTATTTAGATAAGGGACTGTTTCCTTTTTGATAATAGTAAATACTACTTTAAACATTATCAAATAAAAAAAAAGAAACCATTCCTTTCTTTGAATAGAGTTAGGAAAGGCCTTATTGGATGCATGGGTGAGGAAAAGGCAGCAGCTAGGGCTGGTTTACCCCCTGGGGCAGTTCTGGCATTTTCCCCTCTCCACAGAATGATTCTCATTCTATCCACGGATCATATCAAAATCCATAATTTTGACCCCCAAATCTGTCCTCAGCTTATAGATAAGTATATATGGCAATTCTCTAATAAATAAAAGATAGCACTTAAGTTTATGAGAGAATGGGATGGTCTTCCTTATTTCTTTGCTTCTGCTCAGTGAAGAGTTGTTCTGCTTTTATCCCTATATCCTGTTTTTACATGCTCAAAGTACTGACTACTTTTTTCCCCTTTTGAAGCAAATTTCTGCGTAAGAAGGAAGAGCCGAGCAAAAGTTCCCAGCAGTCAAATCACTTACCAAAATACGAAAGAGTAAAGGAGCTGTGTCAGCAAGCAAGGTACCAGACAGCTTGTGAGCAGCCTGGCCAGGTAAGTAAGCAGGAGTGCTTCACAGTGTATTGATGAACAAATTCCAATTCCAGAATAGTCATCACTAGCTTCAGTTTAACTCAGGTTCATGTTTCACAAAGCTAGTGGATTATTCCTGGCAAAAATACCAGTACAACAAGTGTTCACAGAGAGATTGCATTTTCTGACAATACCATTCTTTTAAGATTTGCACATCAAAGAGAGAGAGGAGAGGGAGAAAGCGAAACAATTGAACAAAAATTCTCAGAATCTCTTGAGCAGCACAGCCCCCTGGAAACTGTATTCTGAAAAAATAACTTTTCCAACCTCTGGTCAAAAACCCAGAGCATGAAAAACATAAATAAATGAAAACATTTTATGTATTAACTTTTAGAAATAGTAATAACAATGGAGAAAGTATTGAATGCTAGTTTTGTTATTTCCCAAAGCAACTTTATATTAATGGCATTTTTATAAGTTACTCAAATATTCATGAGGTTTACAATACTGCAGAGGAAATATAGAATGCTGCTTATTTGTCTTTTTTGTGCTTGCTCTTAAAATAAAAAGGCCATGTATGTATTGGTGAAGAACTCTTTTCTGGATAAATATAGAATAGAGAGAACAATACAGATAGAAAAACTAAATGAGAGTCCAAGAATAAGCAGCCTCAAAGCCCACTAAAGACATTTTATATGAGAGCTTACATCTTTACCTTATTGGTCTTTGGAACAACAGTTTTATAATTGCAGAAACTGTATAAAGGTGTGTTATAAGCAGACACCATGTCCTGGAAATATGAGCGCATGGAGACATGCACAAGTTTTCTCCTTTCTAGGCTGCTTAAGGTGCTGAATGCAATCCTCAAAATGGGTTCAGCACTTCAGTTCCTTTAAAGTCCAGGCTAGAATCCAAAGGGGATTGATCACTTCACGGACATGTTAAGCCTATTGCTGCTAGTGTATCTGTGACCATGCCATGATGGGCAAGAAAAACAGTTGTACCAGTTCACAATTTGTCCTAGTAAAAGACCATTACACCTCAATTTTTCAAAATTCAGTTTGGTTGGGGATCTTTTTATCTACCATTTTGTCAGCTTGTTTACTTGTGTACACGGGATGCTAGGAACATACATAGTGGGTGCAGATTCTCACTAACTCACTACTGAGTACAAAGGTGTTCTGTGTAGTTAGTAAATGTTCTGTGCATGTCTTCTGAAATTGTTTATGCATGAACCTCATAAAGTGCCCACTTGAAATGTAAGCACATTGCCACAGCTCTTGAAGTCCAGTCCAACCTCCAAAGGGTCAATTAAGGATAAACTATACTGAACCTCATCAGGATAGTTGTTCCAAAAGAGGAATGTTAGTAGGAGCCCAGCTACTTGTAGACAGTGTGCTCACCTGACACTGTACATACCATGTTTATATTTATTTCTGTTATAACTCTAGTTGGCTCTACCCTAGAGAGGGTGAGGCAGCTGCCTGAAAGGAACAAGTGTTCCGGGCACCAGTGGCAACTATCCAAACATTCGTCCTTAGTCCCCAATCATATGCCTCTGTTAGAGCTCAGAATCTGTTCTGTTTTGTCGAAATTAATATGTTTTTCCTCGTGCATGATGTAGACTACTGATCCACTATCAATCATAAAGAAAAACTCAACTTGTTCCAGATTGTTTCTGTATGCGGAATAGATGGGGGTAAATTGTGTCAATTCCTTATGTTGGGTCTAGATCAGGTCATACTCTAACAATAATTTTGCAGTCCACTCTATGAGTTGATGGCCTAAAACGAGATAGGAATTGGTGTAGAGTAGGCAAGGATAACCAGAGAAGACCATGCTGTTGGTTCAATGATGTTCTGGGCTTATAAAAAGGTTTGAGATGTCAAAGAATAGAGGGTGGTGTACCAAAGCTTGAAGATAATTGCATTTCTGAATTGCAACTTAGCCAATTCTGGGTGGGAGATTCTGGCAGTTAATGTCCAATTTGGAGATTCTGGGCTCTATGTCTGTATTTTGGAGACATTTTCAAGTATACAAGGCTTAAAAAAAGCTTCAAGGCCTCCATATATTGTTTTACCTTTAGCACTGTAGTGCTAGATTTCTTTCTGACATCTACATCACTCAAGCAAAGTATAAAAGTTTGTAGAGTCTCTTCCAACACACAGTGCTCCATGTAACCTGTTAGCACACACTGTGTGTAAAATAGGTACAAAATTAGGTCTCATGTCAGACATCGATATCTCAGAGGCCAACTCTGAAGCTAGAAGATTTGAGCTTATAAGACTAACATTTTGTAGCATGCTGACTATGGAGTTATGGGAATTGTAATAAAAGGTTTTCTTGATGTCCTTTGATAATTAGGAACTTCCTTGGGATGCTATGCTATATTTTTTTGTGTTTTTTGAGTGTACAGAAGAGAAAGCTAAGCAAATATAAACCTTGCTGAAATCCAGTAAATTAATTCCTCATTTTGGGTTGCTCTTTTAATGCCTTGGCAATTCACCTTTCCAACATTTTAAAGATTAAATTGTCAGCTGCCAGCATTTCCCTAACCTCCCTACCATTGAGGCATCTTTTGTAGGAGGTGTAATTAATTTCCTCATTACATGAAAGCCTTTCATGGCTGTCTCAAGCTGTCACAGCATATTAAGTAAACACTGTTCACTTTAAATACTTAAGTGGGGCATTTATTGCGCTTTAATGATGTTGAATGTAAAGCTATATTAACACTCTTACAAAAACCAATAAGTGGAGGGTGTCATAATCTACCTCTCGGGGCTTCCTTGCAAATCTTTCCAGCATCTCTCCTCTGGTTCTCTTGGCAGCTACTTGAGAAGAGTGAGCAGATTTCTTTCAGGTGGTGAAATGCAGGGAAATATTTTCAGACTGGAATGCAACAGGAGGATGAGAACAGTGACTTTGGGCAGGGTTTCCCTATCTCTTTCTCTAAGATGCCAGATTTAAATTCAAATTCAGTAAATTGCAGTGTAGGACTTCAGAGAGGCATACATACTCTTTGCTAAATTTAAACATTTACATAATACAGTCTTCGGGGTAATGTTATAGGTGCGCCTAATTTTGGCATAGCTCACATCTTAATATATTTTAGGCTGAATGGCTGTGTATTCTCCTGCATAGCAGATACATTTTAAAAAAAACAGTCCAATTCTGATCCAATCCAAGTTCTTTTTTTTTAAAAAAAGTAAATCTTCATTGCTATAATAAATAACAAAAAGAAAGGAAAAAGCCAAAAATGCATACAAAACAAAAACACAATAATTATTAGCTACCAAAGAAAATAATGAATACTACAAATGACAACCTCGCCTCTTCCCACTCATAAAAGTCATATAAAATTGATTTCTTACTCCCCCAAACAAAGACTCCATAACAAAGAATATGAAAAGTTTTTCTGTAATGTCTCCAAATCCTGCAAGCTGATCCATCCAAATTCAGAAATAGCCCATTAAAAATTAGCACCTGGGTTATAAACAGAGCAGCCGACACAGATCACTCAGGCAGACATTCTCACTTGAATGAGAGATGTATTTGTATTTCTGTTTATGTTTAGTAATGATTTATTGATCTGCAGCTATATATATAGCATGTGCACATTCTGTCTCAACATGCAGCCTTTCCCTCCACACTTTATCTGGGAGTGGTGAAGGGGTGAGACATTTTATTTCTTTTTTTCATAGTAACCACATTAGTAAGTAACCACCTTACTTTGAGAAAGCCAATTGTGGGGTCTCTTCATTGAGAAAAGGTGGAATGTTGAGGTGGCAGATCTCCCATCATAACAGTAATGAAGCTTAGTAATTGTTGGCACTCTCAATTGGGTATGCTCATGAGTGTCTAGGGGTAACAGTGGCTCCAGTGTTATTTGGATGGCAAATCTGCTTTGGGTTTTAGCCTCAACTTTAAAGGAGCTCTGCAGAGTACTGAACCTCTTGGGCAATAGGATCCAGCACCTTGGATTTTTCAGATTTAAACTCAGGGCAGATTTGCTATCCAGCTGAATGAGAGCCACCACTACTAGAAGGTGAACAATGGGAAGCCTGATTCAGCTGTGATCACAGGAGGAGGGTAAGCAAAGTCAAGGTCGGATCTAATGTCTTTTCAAAAGTTGAAACCGTACCAGCATAAAGGCTATAAGAGGCTGTTTTTGACACTGGAAGATAATCAAAAATGCACATGAGAGGTCTGCTTGACTTCCATCAACATTTTAACTGATAATGAATTTCTTTGTTTGTTATACAAGTATAATTAACAAAAGGTGAAAGGTAAAGTTTAAGTAGAAAGCAAAAAGAAAACAAACCCAAATGGCCATACAGACAGAGTTGCTTGATGTATTTCCATCAACAGAGTTTGGAGCAGATTCCCAACCAACATCTACTCAGAAAATGTGCCCCGCTACAATTCCCAGAATCTCCTAAGAATTATGGCCAGGTGTTAATCAACCATTGTCCATGTTGTTAAGGACTAATGGCAATTGATGTTAGGCTGGATTAAGTAGGAAGTACGGTACAACCCCCATATCCATGGGGAATATGTTTCAAGATCTCTTGTGGGATCTGAAAACATGGATAGTAGCAAACCCTCTATTTTGGCCATACATGGGCTGGAAGCATATGATAGAACCACACTAGAGGACCTAGAGTACCACAGACGCTTCCAGGAGGAATGTAGTTTGGCACAGGGGTAAGTGAAACTATGGATATCAAATCTAGGGACAAGGGGGGCATACTGTATTGTTTAACAGCTTGTTCATTCTCTTTTCATTTCAGAAATGGCAATGTATTGAGGACACATCTGGCAAACTTCGCATTCACAAATGTAAAGGCTCTAGTGACATTCTTGCTATAAGAAAAAGAACACGAAGCATACATTCCCTGGGATATAACAACCAAGAAAATGAATGTGATTGCAGAGAAGCTGATTACCGGAGCAGTCGGACCCAAAGAAAAAATCAAAGAGCCTTTATGCGAAACCCCAGCATGCCAAGTAGGTTGATGGGAGATGCAGAGGCTGTCAGAAAGGTCAGGCATCTTGATCTGCTGGAAGATTAGACTATTTTTTTACAATCTGGGGAGGGAATCTATATACTCTGTGAGGCTCTGAAAAATTAGTGTACTTTATACACATTTTGAGGTGTTGATAAAGAAATAAATTAAAAGGCACTAAACTTTTGATTGGAGAGCTATGTAGGTGTTTAAAAACATCAACACTGCCTAAATAAAATAGCCCATTTTAACAATGGAGACAGCCAAAGATTAATCAATTTTCAGTCTAGAGCCAGGTATGTGTGTAGGTGTAAATGTGGGGAAAACAGAGTTCAGCCCTCAGCATCCCTCTTTCCCCAATAGCACATGTAATTACTGTGGTCTATCCAAAGCTTAGAAAAGTGATCGAAATCATTTTTGAATTGGAAAGAAGTCATGCATGTATAGTATCTTACTCCCAATGCTTGAAGGGGGTCCTTATGCTTCAGTCAATAAGGTTGAGCTCAGCCTTGTTCACGTGAAATGTAATAAGCTTTTTTATGACATTGTTTAAAGGACTAGTCCAGTGGTTGCTCTTAGTTGATGTGTGTTACCATCCTGCTAAACAGAGATTTCCCAACTGGTTGTCTGGATTCTGTGCATGTATAATACAGTGTCTGCTTCTTTTAAGAGAGGCGTATTTGCACAGAATAATTCTCTAATTGTTAGACCACCAGCAGAATAAGCAATTTACATCAAAAGGCTTTAACAATATTTCTGTCCAACTGATGAATTTCCCCTGCCACAAACCTAAATATAGCTTAAATTGTTCTCAGTGAATCTCCTTGAAGATGTTCCTTTTTAAACTCATCCTTATCTTTGTAAAAGTAAGTAGCTTTTTGTGTGTTTGTGTGTGCCTTTCATTCCTCTGTTGACTTATGACAACCTCATGAATTTCATAGGGTTTTTCTTAAGCACAGAAGTTTGTCCTTTCCTTCACTTCGAATAATGTCTCTTCAGTGCCCTCCAGTGGATTCTAATGTGAACCATTTATCAAGTTCAGTAAAATGAAGATACTGGGGAGACAGTGTGTGAATATAAGCTACTATTTATCAGAGCCTTAAAACACTAATTTTTAAAACTGCAGTTCTCTAAAATCATTGGTCATGATGATGATTATTATTATGATTATTTATACCCCACTTTTTCTCTCCACTAGAAGACTCAAAGCACATGTCCAGTAGTTGTGCTGGCTGGAAGATGTGGGTTGTCACTCAAAAATATAAGTTTTAGAAGTTCTGCAGTTTATCAGCTGATACTTTAATACAGTAGGCATGTGGAGCATTAAGTTCCTATCAAGTGAAGAAAAAATTGGGAAGAATCCCAAGAACCAGAAAGAAGAATAGTAATATGATAGAGCAAGTGACACTTAAGTGTGATTGCATCATTTAAAACAGTGGTTCCCAACCTGTGGTCTGTGGATCAACGATGTCCCCCAAGAACAGAAATATGGTCTGCAGCTTCACCATTACTACACCATTGCCTTAAAATCACATGGCAACAAGAGTGACTGATCTCCCTCTTATAGTGCTGAGGCAATGGGACTGTCAGGAGGGGAGAGGCTGACTAACCATGAAAGAATACTACTACCACATCAGCTCTACATTATTAAGTATGGTTGTCTGTGGGCAAGCAGATGGCGACTACTGGATGGCATATGTTATATCAAAAACTAGAGCTGATGTGGTCTATCCAGTGCAGTTTTCTCTGAATCAGCACCCCAAATAACCAAATCAAATCTAAAGTTGACCAAAAACTGATTCGTAATCTTTTTTGTACTAATGTTGGAGAGTTGTACCTGGTCAAAGTGGTTCCTGGTAAGAAAAAGGTTGGGAACAACTGATTTAAAATAACACTGTTTTAAGAACAATAAAAGATACACAGAATAACAAAGTATGCTTATAAAAATACAGAGTCTTATTATACTTCCTGTTACCTAGGTCTAAGTACCAAACTACATGTGACACTTAATGCACAGCATGGATTCTGTCTCACTTTTTATTAATTTATCCAATGAGGATTTCTTTTTTCATGGAAGCTGAAACACAGAGATTTTAATTCTGATCACAGCATGGAAGTTGGGTCTGCACACTGTGTTCTCAAGAAGAATCTTCTCCTCCATGCTTGGAATTAATAAAAATAAAATGGAAAACAAAGTCATTTACTGTGTATTAAACATAACATGTGGTCAGATGATATATGGAACAGAAGGAGTTCATAAAATGGATTGTACATTCTCAGACTGTGACTGGAGGAACAACATTTTCAATTGACTTCTATTTTTCTAAAAAGCTCTTCGGCTATAAACCTTGCACCATGAGGAATATGACCTTTGTTCCTGATATTCCAGATCTTTCCTAGCAGTGTTTCTTCCTTTTTTACATAGCAAGAAGATTAAAAACGGCATTCACCATTACATAATCTGTTAAATGAAATAGTACAGACTGCTCTACCACACCTGGGTTTTACCACTTCTTTGGCTGTATGGCTAGAACACACATAAACATAGTCTTTTCTGTTTGGATTAGTATTAAGGAATCTAAGGAGGGCTTTTGCTCTAAAAATAAATTAGATGTCTTGGGCCAGGCTATCAGAAGGACTGTTTCCCTTTATGGGCCCTTAGAGCTCTAAGATCATCTGGACAGACCTTTCTCTCTGCCCCATCACCTTCTCAGGCTTTTAGTAGGAATGAGGGAGAGCATCTTCATTGTGGATGCTACCAGACTACACAACTCCCTCTTTAGGGAGGCCAGAATCCCAAGTTCTTGTATTCCTTTCATCTGGATTTTAGAAAGTGACTGTAGTGGGCTCTCAATGTTGTGACATAATGTTTTTAAGATTTAATGTTTTTCTCAATTAATTGCTTGATTTTGAAATACATTTATGTGTCTGTTTTGAATTTTTTGTATAGTTTTAATATGCATTGTTTTTACATGTTTTGCCATCTTTAACCTAATTATTGAGAGAAAGGCAGGATACCAGTGCTTTCAGGTCACAATTTGACCTGTTAATTTATGATAGCCCCATGAGTTCCATAGGGTTTCCTAGACAAGGACTATTCAGAGGTGGGTTGCAGATTTTGTCATCTGAAATACAGCCTATAGCACCTGGTATTCTTTGGCATTCTCCCATGTAAGTACTAACCAGGATGACTTTGATTAGCTTCCCAGATCAGATGGGGCCTGGTGCCATTAGGGTATTTAGATACAATTAATACAACCGTAGTAGTAAACCAAGATGACCAAGGTGAGATGTTTTATTTTGAAGAAGAGTTAATATATCTTTATACTGAATGCTCAAATGAAAAAAAATTCTTCCTGTATCCTGCATCAGTCTTTTATCCAACTTCCTTGTCGTTGTTTGATTTGTTTTGTAGCTATTTAATAATGCATCTGTTTTTCTGTTACCCATGCAGAATACAAACCACGATTTGTTCATACACGACAGACTCGTTCCTTGTCTGTGGAATTTGAAGGAGAAATATATGACATAAACCTGGAAGAAGAATTGCACATCCCTCAGCCAAAGAGTATTGTGAAGCGGCATGGGAGTTACAGTGAGGAGGAGGAGGACAACGAAGACCAAGAAGAGCATCAGCTGCAAGGTTCAGAAGATGATGGAGATGGTGGTCATGAAGCCATGCTAGCTGATGGAAGCAACACAGTTGGCCAGCCAGACTCTGTCAGAGTGACTCATAAGTAGGAATTCTTTTTTCTCCTATTGTTTTTATTGCATGCTTGATCCTATTGTTTTTATTGCTCCTATTGTTTTTATTGCATGCTTGATGTTCAAGGTACTTACAATGTGGCCTAAGCAGAGATAGGCTGCTGCCAACCCCAGGGAGCATTGATTTTCTACCTTTAAAATTTTACTTAGCATACCTTATCTCCTTAGGCAGTTTTCAGACATACGTTTTGTATCGATCCTTTGACTGTTTTCCCCCTGACAAGGATTTAAACGACTTGTCTGAGCTGCTTATGAAGGGGTGCTAGAATTGTAGTAGTGCATGTTATTTCTGCCTTGTTTCTTGTTAATCAATATCCATTGGGATTTAGGGTGAAGTTGACCAAGATATCTCAAATGTATCGCTTCTGTTTTCTCTTTTATAGGTGCTTTATTCTTCCAAATGATTCAATTCACTGTGAGAGGGAACTTTACCAGTCAGCCAGAGCCTGGAAAGACCACAAAGCCTACATTGACAAAGAGGTAAAAAATATCTCAAGCGTCTGTACCGGTACCTTACCACAATCTAAAAAAAAAAAATCCAGTAAAAGCTTACACTGGACATTTAACTTCAAGCCACTGCTTATCCGTAGAGACACTTGCTGTGTTCAGGTGAAATGCTTACTCATAATAGAAAGTTACATGAATGAGCTTGCAAAGTAATCTTGTAGCGCCCTAAAGACTAAGAGAAGAAAGCTGGTAGGGTAAGCTTTTGTGGACTAAATCTACATCCTCAGATGCATGAAGTAAAATGCCCAGGAGCAGACTTTTATAGGCAAATTGTATGTGTGAATGACCATAGAAATGCACAACCTATGGGTATGATGATGAGGTGGCAAGTTCAGTTTTAATTATGGCCATTGGGAGACAAAGACAGGAGGGAAGATGTTGCCTGACATACAGAGATAATCATATGAATAGTGGAAGGAATTATTAGAATGTGGTGTGATGCCAGAAGGGAGATATGATAACCTGTCCAAGAAGGCCCTCACTGTATATATTAATTTAAAAGTCAGAATCATAGTAGATTCAACTCCCAATGACTTATAAAACTAAGGCATGGCATTTGACTTTGGAGAAATATTTTTCTTGGTATCAGTTCATCTTTTTCAAAGTGTATTTTATTGTAGTGGCCACCTACAATTTGGATTATAAACTGCAGAACATTTTAAAAGCATGGTAGCAAAATCATAATGTTATTATAATTAGTATTCTGGTAGCAAATTACCCGTATATACTCAAGTCTAAGCCGTCCCGAACATAAGCCGAAAACCTAATTTTAACCACAAAAGAATTGGGAAAACTAATTGACTCAAGTATAAGCTGAGGGTGGGAAATGCAGCAGCTACTGGTAAATTTCAAAATAAAAATAGATACCAATAAAATTACCTTAATTGAGACATCAGAAGGTTAAATGTTTTTGAATATTTATATAAAACTATAATTTAAGATAAGACTGTCCAACTCTGATTAAATCATTGTTCTAACCTTCTTCAATGTAAATGTACTTACATATCCTTCCAAAAATCACCATAGTTTATTTTAACTATACATTTTGGGGAAAATACTGTGTGTATATGAATAAGGAAAAGTGGGAAACACTGCTGAGAGAGGAGGAGAGGAAGGCATGTGCTGAGCAAGAGAGGAGAAAAAGGAGAGCTAGGTTGCTGTGTGGAGAGGTGAGGGTCCTGGCAGGAAGCCGTTGGGCTGAAAGATGCTGAAAGAAGATGTGGGGCTGAAATAATAAGCCGGGGGGGGGGAGGTTTTTTCACCCTAAAAAAAAGGCTTATTCTTATCTACAGTAAGTTCATAGTGATACTACATCACTGACAAAATCATTAAGCATGGAATATATTCTTGTTGTGTAGATTGAGGCTCTACAAGATAAAATTAAAAAACTAAGGGAAGTGAGAGGACACTTGAAAAGAAGAAAACCCGATGAATGTGACTGTAGCAAAGTGAGGTATGTAATATTACATAATTTCTCTCTATTACATAATTCTAATCAGAAAACAATGTACATGGAGAGACTGATTGAAGCAGTGTATATTGGTCCAACTCACATAAGTCAGATTTATGGTTACAAATAGTTGTAGTTTAAGGGTTTGGAATTTCTGCCAAACTGTGGGTATTTGACAATCTGGTTCTGGTTTCTTTCCATAGTGCTGATACAGAATAGGGTATAACTACTAAACCCTGATGCAAAGGTGGACGATGTTTGGGCTAATGGGACAATATTCCTCCTCCACCACCGTCGCCCGCTCCCATCACTCCCCTGTTTTTTGGGCTCCAAATGCTGTCCTGTGCCCTCAAGGATGTTCTATGGTCAATTTTGTTTCAGGGTACCTTGTGTTGCTTTATGGCAGGAAGTGCTTCTTTGTACTTCCTGCCATAATTTATTAGGGGGGGGGGGAGACTCCTGTAGGTCTGAAATGCCCTGGAGTATGGGAAGAACATGGACAATTTGTCCTTAAGGCCATTTTGGAGAACAAGAATTTCCAATAGAAATTGAATTCATTTAGCCACAAAACAGCCCATGGACTTCTTTCCCTATCACTACATAATGTCCTCTGGAGCAAGTGTTCTATTTATCCAAGAAAGCTAACAAAGAGGCAGTAAAGTGTGATGTTGAATTTTGGCCACTGTGTACAAAAGTAACTTGTGTTTCTGAAATTAATTTGAAATATGTGAAATCATTTATTTAAAAAAAACACAGGATTTGGGACTATTGCTCATTGCCATCTCATGTGCATTTCAAGATCTATTATATCATGATTTTAAAAATTGGTTGCTACACGGCTGCTTGACTAAACAATAACCTGAATTCATTTACAGAACAAAATCAGATATCATGTAGTTGAGCATTTGTAATGCCAGATGTTTCATTGGTTTCATTCAACTGCAGTTCTGTACAAATGACAACAGCCATATTTTATTGTGTTCCATTTTTTCAGAACCTCTTTTTAATCATGATATTTCTCTTACAGCTATTACAGCAAAGAAAAGGGAGTTAAAGGTCAAGAAAAATTGAAAGCAAGTCATCTTCATCCATTCAAGTAAGCCTCCCTCCCTCTAATCCAGTGGTTCTCAGCCTGTGGGTTCCCAGATGTTTTGGCCTTCAGCTCCCAGAACCCTTAACAGAACCCTTAATCAACTGGGTGGGATTTCTGAGAGTCGTAGGCCAAAACACCTGGGGACCCACAGGTTGAGAACCACTGCTCTAATCCAACATGTCATCATGGGATGCTACTATAAACAAAAGTATCTGTTGACCAACCGTTCAATGATATGGAACATAGGAACAACCTTGTCCTATTTAAAAATCCAGAAGTTTGTCTTTGTTTTGATAATACCTCAAACAAATGGACAAAAAAAGCTATTGTTTTCTAAAATTGTGCCAAAACAATGTAGCTGTCTTGAATATTGTGCACTTGAGTTGATGGAGCATTGTTGATGCTCCAGTTAAGGCAATAAATATCTTGGATCTATGCAGATAAGAACCCTAAAATGATCAAGGGTCTAGAGAACAAGCCCTATGAGGAACGACTTAAATAGCTGGGCATGTTTAGCTTTCAGAAGAGAAGGCTGAGAGGAGACATGATGAGGGCCATGTATAAATATGTGAGGGGAAGTCATAGGGAGGAGGGAGCAAGCTTGTTTTCTTCTGCCTTGGAGACTAGGATGCAGAACAATGGCTTCAAAGTACAGGAAAGGAGATTCCACCTGAACATGAAGAAGAACTTCCTAACTGTGAGATCTGTTCAGCAGGGGAACTCTCTGCCCCGGAGTGTGATGGAGGCTCCTTCTTTGGAGGCTTTAAACAGAGTCTGGATGGCCATCTGTCAGGGGTGCTTTGAATGCAGGGGGTTGGACTGGATGGCCCACGAGATCTCTTCCAACTCTATGATTCTATGATTCTAAGAAATGAAGTAAACAAAAGGTAACATCTGAATCCAACCCTGAAAGGCTCCTGTTTTTTCTCCTTTTAGCAATAAAACTTGTGGACTTGTTCATCCACAAAAGACAATCTAATTTTTATTTGAAGCATTGGCCAGGACTGATGACAACCATATTGAGATGAGAAGCATTTTAGTTATGTTTTAACTTACTACTTATTCTTGATTTTGACTAGGGAAGCTGCACAAGAGGTAGATGGGAAGCTTCAGCTATTCAAAGAGAACCGTCGGAGAAAGAAAGAAAGGAAAGGAAAGAAACGCCAGAAGAAAGGAGATGAATGCAGCCTTCCTGGACTCACTTGCTTTACCCATGATAACAACCACTGGCAGACAGCACCATTCTGGAACTGTGAGAACTGTTTCTAGCAGATGCATGAGCATGGGAATCAGGGGTCATGTTAATCAGTGGGGAGTCAGAGGGCTTTGGACCCTTTGTTTTGGATCAGTGCTAAAGAGAGAAAAATAACCTTGCACTCTGTATTATTCAGCCAAATATGTCAGATGAAGTAAAAAGATAAAAAAGCCAAAAAAGGTGGGGGAGGGGGCAGAATTATTTATATTAAAAGGTGACCCTTTGCTTATTTCTCTCAGATAGTGTTGAGGCTTTTAGGAACATGAGGTGCACTCTGTAGAAGTAAAGTAATTCAATGCCATATTAACTGCGATGGCTCAATGCTATGAAATTCTAAGAGTTGCAGCTTGGTGAAACACCAGCATTCTTGGGCAAAGAAGGCAAAATATCTTGTAAAACTACAACTCCCATAATTCCATAGGATTGGGTCATTCCAACTAAATTAATGTTAAACTGCATTAATTCTACAGTGTAGATGCAATCAAAAAAGTGATTTTCTTTATCAGGGGACTTACAGGGGAGTCCTCTGGGGTGAAAGCAGCCCTTTAATCCCCAGCAATTGTCCACACCTCTTTTTAAGAAATGCCCATAATCAGAAAAAAATGTTCCAGTAACAATGTTTACTTCTTGTATATATTTAGATATCTTGTTCGTTATTAAAGCTCAACATTCCAGCTTTCAAAAATCTTTGGAAAAGGAACATTGCAACCACCACCACCACCAATACCACTGCTACTACAAATCATAATAAAATCTTCCTTGATGTAACCTCCTCTATTGTTTCCAATCTAACACATACATAAGCTAAGATAATTATGAACATTTTTTACTCTTTTTCAACAGTGGGATCATTTTGTGCTTGTACAAGCTCAAACAACAACACTTACTGGTGTTTGAGAACAGTAAATGAAACACACAACTTTCTCTTCTGTGAGTTTGCTACGGGATTTCTGGAGTATTTTGACATGAACACTGACCCTTACCAGGTAAGTGTGTGTCTGTGTTTTACACAATTTAGAAAGTCCGCAAGATCATTGAATTCCTGTATGATTATTGTATTGCACTATGACCTCCGTTCATTCCATGTACCACTGAAAGCAACATACATGGGGTTCAAGGGTAGTTTTCATATATAGCAGTCAGTTTTGTGTCCAAAGCTTACTTTCAAGAAGCAGGTCATTTGGTAGAGAGTGCTGACAGCCTTTGGAGAAAAATCCTGTCAGAATCTTGCCTTCTTTCTGGACCACTGTTTTCCTTTATCACACAACATGTCCTGGAGCCCTTAAACTAGTTTAATGCCATCAGTGTATTGGAGTATTCTACTATCACCAGTGCTGGAAGTTAAACAGCCAATTCAGCCAGCTTCTATACGTGAGATATGGGCAGGGCAGCATCTTGCCTGCCACTTCTGGCAACAAAAATGTCTTGCGCTAACCTGGTTAGAGGATGGCTGTTTCTTGTGCCTTCTGATGAAAGCCCAGGGACAACTCTAAGGGATACATCTTGGGTTATATTTTTGGGCAATAGTCTCAGATGCAATATGCTTCAATTCATTATTCTGTATACGTGTGTGAGTAAATTGCAACTCTTTATTTTCCAATGCCAAATTGTGACAGCTGAGAGCTGTTATTTACCAACATGGATGTTTGAGCGAGAAACATTGAGAAATGGATAATTTGATCTGCTACATCCATTTGGGTTCAGTTCTGGGACCTGCCACAGACATGAAAAATCATGCCTTATATTAGTAAATGGCACCAATGTGAATAGTATGGCCACATTCACACTACTGCCATTTATTAATTTGGGGTGGAATGATCTGAGGTCACTGAAAAACCACAACTCCAGTATCCTCTGTAGTAAATGCTTTGTACACAGCAATCCTTTAGCCCAGATGGGCAACTTCAGCAGGGACAGCCCAACTTTCACCCCTAAACACCCTTGCACTGATGTTTGGCCAGTAATAGTTTCAAATCTGGTTAATTTTGAAGTTGATTGGGCAGTTCTTGAGTGACACCATTATTCCAAAAGGTCTTTGCAGAGGGATGTCATCTGGCCCAATTAGCCTCAAAGACTAATTTGATAAAGAGATGGGAGAAAGCCTTCTCAGTGGCTGCTCCTAGACTATGAAACTCCCCCAACCCCCAGAGATGGTTCAGTTGGCCCCCCTTCTCTGATGTCTTTTCACATTCAGGTGAATAATCTTTTTATTGAAACAAACCTTCAGATGTTTTATCGAAGGCTTTCATGGCCGGAATCACTGGGTTGTTGAAGGTGTTTCAGGTTGTATGGCCAATTTCTAGAAGCATTCTCTCCTGACATTTTGCCTGCATCTGTGGCAGACATCCTCAGAGTTTGTGAGGTTTGTTGGAAACTAGGAAAATTGTGTTTATATATCTGTGGAAGGTCCAGGGTGGGAGAAAGAACTCTTGTCTGTTGAAACTAGGCGTGAATGTTTCAATTGGCCACCTTGATTAGCATTTGATGGCCTGACAGTTTTTAGGTGTGGTTTGTTACTACCTGGAGTTCCCCTGTGTCTGGAGTTCCCCTGTGTTTGAGTTTTGCTTTTTATTTACTGTTACAATTTTAGAGGGTTTTTTTAGTACTGGTAGCCAGATTTTGTTCATTTTCATGGTTTCTTCCTTTCTATTGAAATTGTCCACATGCTTGTGGATTTCAACGGCTTCTCTGTGTAGCCTGACATGGTAGTTGTTAAGAGTGTTCCAGCATTTCTGTGTTCTCAAATAATATGCTGTGTCCAGGTTGGTACATCAAGTGCTCTGCTATGGCTAACTTCTCTGGTTGAAGTAGTCTGCAGTGCCTTTCATGTTCCTTGATTTGTGTTTGGGCGCTGCATTTGGTGGTCCCTATGTAGACTTGTCCACAGCTGCATGGTATATGGTAGATTCCTGGAGAGGTGAGAGGATCCCTCTCACCTTCAGATGTTTAATGTTTTTAAAATTTTTAGTCCAACAATTCCTAAGTCGGTTGGCAATTGATTCATTTTTAAATTCCCTGCATAGAGGCAGTCAAATTGACCAATTTCCCCATGTGATGTCAATCCCTGTTGCCTGCTTGTAAATAAAATGATGACACTGTGTGTGGGAGGAGCTAAAATGCTCATTTCCCCAGATCACCAATGCAGAGGCTTGAGGAAAGATTAGAGTTAATTTAAAAACTACTTCCTACAATTATCAACGCAAAGGCTCTGGGAAAGATGAGGTTTAATTAAAAACTACTTTGTACAATCTGCAGTGATGGTTTTTTTAAAATATATAAACAATTGAAATCCTGGAGGGACAATGGGAGGAAACAAATATCAGTGCAAACAACCACAAGGAAAAGGAAGTGCTGCCTTAAGATAGGTGCTTAACTGGCAACTACAAAATGAGACTTCAACAGCTTGAATAATGGATTATGGATTTTGGACATGAGATCATGACTCGGTGTTTTATATATGGTTTTAATCTGATATAATGTTATGAGATTTAATTGCTTATATGCTTTGATTGTTTATATTTTTATGAGATGTTTTATTGTTTGCCTGTGTGGCATTGAATTTTTGCCGAATTTGGAAGCCACCTTGAGTCCTCTCTTGGGTTGAGAAAGGCGAGGTAGAAATGATGTAAATAAAATACATAAATTAATAAACTGTTTTGGTGAGTGTAAACAAGTCCATGGAAAGTGCCACCTTAAGAAAAATGCCTTAAATCTGCTTCAGGGAAAGAGTCTTGAAGGTAGTGCTGCCTTAAAGGATGCCTATTTTTAAAAGTGTGATGATATCCTTGAAATGGAAGGAGTCATTGCCTGCCCATGTGATGGGAATTAAGCAGATGATTGAGTTAGAAGCTGGAGGAGGCAATCTTAGTGTGATGGGTATAAATTTTTTGTCGTCTTTAAAGACAGAACCCCATGAAACTCTACCCTTTCATCCGCTTTTTCTCATTTTCTCCAGCTCCTTGTAATGAAGTCCTAGGAGGACTTTGTAGGCCATGTGCTGAAATTTTTGGCTTTAGCTTCTGAACTACTCTGAATTTTAAAAATTTAACACAAAAAATGGATAGTCTTTCTTTCCCTGGATGGTTAAAAGTAGTCAGACTAGTGTAGTCCTGCAGCCAGTAAATAGCTGGGGCGATGGAGCTGTGTGCAGCAAGCCCTCTCCCTTGTGTTCTTAAGAGCCAAGGTCTTAGATAAGAAAATTTTGGATACCTCCTTTTACAAAACCTGGAAAAATAAATATACATTGTCATAACCCTGGTTAATTCTGCATACATTATCATCAAGATGCTGGCCAGTGAGTTCTGCTTCTAAATAGACGTGCTTATGATTGATGCTAAAAGACTGTCATCCTTTTCTTTCTTTGCCCAGTTGACAAATACAGTACACACAGTAGAAAGAGGCACTTTGAATCAACTACACATACAGCTAATGGAGCTACGAAGTTGTCAAGGCTATAAGCAGTGCAATCCAAAACCTAAGGGGCTTGACACAGGTAATAAATATTATAAATGTTGTTTTTTCCATCCATCATTAATTGCTAAGAAAGTATGACTTGAGTATAATATTTGCTAAAAAATAATGACTTGAAATGTATTCAGAATGTTACATTTGGCAAAAAAATTTAGCTAGGAAGATATGATGCTTCACTTTGATTTGTACCAATACATTGTATCAGAATAATTGCATAAGAATTGTAAAGCAGCAATTCTTTCATTATTCATTACTTTGAATAATTTTCCAGGTCATTCAGTAAAGCATAGCTTGTCTCTCCCCCCCCCCCCCCCCCCCCCCCCGGTATAAACAGTCATTCTGAGACATTTGAAGGAGACATTGCCATTGAACAATCAGTAAGTAATGCCAGTTGTTTTCTCCAAAGCGTATCTGAAAATTCAGCTAAGAGCATGCAACTTGAAGCTCAAAGTCTTCTTTTCTTACTAAAGATATTAACCATTCTTCTTTGGGCTAATCTGTGGCCAATATATTTTGCAGGTCTCTTCTATTGTCACCCAAAATATCAGTGTAAATTGATATAAAGTGTGTGGTGTAGTTATGTGAGTATTGGACTAGGACTTCAAGACTCCACTCAGCCATGCAAACCTCCAATAAATTTTGCCAAAAAAACCCCAGCAACAACCCTGTGGTAGTGTTACCATATGTCAGAGTCAACTTGAAGTCTTGTAACAGCAGCAAACTCATTTGAGTGATTAGGTATTTCGGCAAATAACAATCTGTTCTCTTATGCATCCCCATCAACCATACTTGTAATGTTGGTGGGGCTGAGAGCCTCTTCTGATGATCTCAGAGCCCAGGCTCATAGAGAGTGATGCCATCTGCCAAAAAGCCATATAGGGCATTATAGATTATAACCAGTTTTTTGAATGCACAGTGTATTCTGTTTAATTTTCTGATTTGCCCTACCAACAGGTAATGTGTTGATCTTGTATAATCTGAAGCATGCCAAATGTTTCAAAATAATGGTTTTCGTTACTGGAAAATTTGACTCTCAATTTTTCAGAGTTTTGCTTTTCTTTTGACTTTTCTCATTCTTTTCCTGTTTTAGAAATACTTTAGAGCACTTCTTACCAGGTATCTTTGTGGGGCTGCTGCTTTATCTAATTAAAACATAATAAATTTCCTTTTAGGGATTAGATGCTCTGCATGGAAACTACATTGTGAATAATTTTACCAAATCTAAACACTAACAAAAGTTACTCTTGTATTTTCCTATATCAGGAAGTAAAGATGGAGGAAGCTATGATCCACACAGGTATCCACACTTTATTATTCTCCTCGACAGCTTCTTTCCAAATAATTGCATGACCTGGTTCATTTTGACTAATGTCTATATCCTGCCTGTTGCACAGTGCATAGCTTTTGCTGCATGCAAGCGCTAACAATGTCCTTCACCCAGCCATTGGTGGTTACATTTGCCCCTTTGCATTTAACTTTGCTCACATTGAGACTCCAAGATCATTCCACATTAGCTTGCTTTAGGAAATCCATTCATTATCCTTGTCCTCGGGCAGAGGGAAGGGAAGGTGTTGTCTTGCTATACATGTTGGTTGGTTTGTTCACACACCCACTCCTCTATAGGCTCCTTGCCTTGTTACACAGCATCTACATTGCGGTGGGCAGCCTATGGCCCTCCAACTGTTGCTGGACTCCAACTCCCATCATCCCTGACCACTAGCTATGCTGACTGGTACTGATGAGAGTTTGAGTCCAGTAGCATATGGACAGTCACAGGTTCTTTGCCTCAATCTATACATTTTTACTATGTGTATGAAATAAGTCACATATATGCCACATTGTCTACGTAAGACTCCTCAGCATGATTGGAAACCTTGGATGAGGTGTTTTAGCTGTGTATTATTGATATGTATGTGCAGAGCTTGGAAGTAACACATTTCAAGTTATTATTTGAGGTAATGTGCAGAGTAACAGTCTTATCTTTTGAAATAATTTACCAGCAATGACCTGCAACACTACCTTTTGGCGGGTAGCAGCTGGGCTTTCTTTGGTAACTTTAAAAATAATGGTTTTGAGATGTCATTTGGGATAGTTTGTGCAGGAGGATTTTCTATGTAATGATTATATTTTTGTTGCAAATAAGCATTAACAAAAACAACACATTAAACACTATCATATTCTTAAAATAATGAATCTAATGCTATTTTAAAGCTTCCAAGCTCTGCACTAACCAGATGGGCACAATCCTGTTTCATCTCCATACATTTAGTACATGCAAGGACAATGTGGTTGATTTTTGGTTGCATTAATTTGTCTGTGACATTAAAATGTTTATTGCTTGTAAAGATGAACCCTCTTTTGTTTACATAATATTTTCTAGTCTGAGCTATAATTAAGTCTGTGGAAAAATGTTCTTATCATCACTGGCAACCAATCTAACTAAAATGGCAATTGAAATAGACTTTATATTTGCATGTCATTGCTGGCTTTAACTCCCACAGAAACATATGTTTTGCAAATGTGTGTTGTTTATATCTAATTGGGTATTGGCATGCATTGTACCTGATTCAATGTGATTCGGGAACTTAGGACATATTAAGTATATTATATAGTTACTGAATTTGCAAACAAAATGAAAAATTACAGTAAGTAGTATCCTATCTGAGAGCACCTGATGTCATAGTATTATTGAAACTAAGATGTCATGAACCTGATCCATATTTGCATGGGAAACTTGTGGAAACCACCACAGTGAATCTTCAGAAAAGAGTAATAATACAAATCGTCTTTTTAAAACTTCAGCAGAAAGTTGGGACTAATGAATTCAATATGTGGCATGTTCCACTTACACAAAAATATATGCCAGCTTTCTAATATTTAAAATACCACTGGGGGGAAGCATGATAAGATTATTGGTCTGTAAGATAGAGATGTGTAACAGGCTTTTTTTTTACTAATCCAGATCTAGTCCTGGAAAGTAAGAGGTTAATAATGCACCAAAGCATCTTTCTCTCAACAAAAAAGATTCCTTACAGATCTCAAATAATTTTCATGAATGTGCTGAATAGAAAAAAAAATGCTTAATTGTGTGGCTCTGTATCAGCTTCATAGCTGTTGACTTCAAAATAGCATGTTTTTGTCCCTTTGTCATTATCTTTAGCTCAGAAGATACTGCTATGAAAGAGAGGTATACAAAAAGTTCCCACAAGTTGCTGTGGTATAGCATGATGAACAACTGACATTCCACCCCTATTTTATGACTGGAGACTGTCAAAGAGACTTACACTATTTTCTTTGGTGTCCTCTTCTATAATAATTTCTGATGAGACTCTTCCAAATTTAATCAAGTTATTCATAGAAGTGTCACAATCCTGCGCAGCATCTCTCAGTATAAACAGTCACTCACTATGTTCATCATCAGACAGTCCAGAATCAAAACCAAAGTAGATTCAAACAACAAACTAGACAGGGATAATTAAGGAGAAGTAGTCAATAGTCCAGTCCAAAGATTCTCACCAACACATTCAAACTATATGGAGTCCAAAATAAAGGTCTAACACACAATAAGGCACATAAAATCATCCAACAGAATGCCAAGCTGTAGCAGGTCCCAAACATTGCTCCCAACAAAGACCAAATCCAAACTGCTGCTCTTTATGCTCCATAGCACAAGTGCTCTCACCTGTTGGCCCTTCTCTGTGCCAACCGGGCAGATCTACGCAGCTGAATAGCATGAGTCCTCAGTTGCAGTCTTTCTGGGATACTTAACTCTGCCTCATTGCTCTCCGGATCCTGAGTTAACGCAGGACTCCCCCTTGCCAGAGGCACTTGGTCCTGCACTGCAGGGGTAGCTTCCTCAGTGTCAGGCTGCAGCTGTTGTTGTTCCCTGCTTTCCACCGACTCAGATGCTGAGCCTGGCAGCACTTCATCTTCATCTGTATTGCAGACCCTGACAAGAAACCAACTATATGCCTCTGAGAAGCTCTCAGTAGTACTCTCCATATGTGCAGATTTTGTAGACAATAGGTCTCTTTTCACTGGCCCAGTGCTGGGTGGGCAACTTCAGAGGCTCTGTGTTCAGTTGTTCCTTGCACCACTTTTCTCCAAGAATAATTACAAACCTCCTGTTTTGTTTTTTAAAACTCTTTACAAGTAAATAAGCTATGGGGCATACGATGTAAAGCAAATCAAAATTCAGTTATGAGAGATGTTCAGGGATCTGCAGATGCTACATGGAACCCACAAACCACATTCCCCACTTCAGGCATACTGGCTCTGAACATGGAGGTTACATTCATTAGTTATAACATGTCTCTGTCATGACAGTCATACTAGTCCTTCCTCTCCATCAACGAAGGACCAATAGACCTGTCCTAGTCGCTGCTCCCAAGTTCTAGAATTTCTAATGAAATTATATTGACTTTATCTTTGTTGTCCCCCCCTATTGGCAGATGAAGACTTTTTTCCTATTCTGACCAACTTTTGAAGACTGGTTGTTTATAAGGAACATTTTTTTAATGGAGCTGCACTGTGTCGATGTATTTATGGCTGTTTTAAAAATTATGCTTTATTTAATCATTCTATTGAAAGATTTGTGGTATTTTCACAATTTTTTTATCAATTGTGTTTTTATCTGTACTGGTTTTTATTTTTGTAACTTGCCTTGAGCCCCAATTGTGAGGTGGTGAGCAGAAAAGCATTATCTAAAACCTTTTAGGTAGAAGTGAAACCAAAGCCAAGATGGAAATTAAGTCCTGTTCTGTTTTCATGATAGACTGCCATGCTTTCTTTCAGGATACTTGTATTCCTTATCTGCTTTGCTGAACTATGCCTTTCCCAGATTTGTCATTTTGTGGCCAGTGAGCATGCTTGGTTGTCTTTGGAGAGAAGTTTGCCCCTTTAGTTATTTTTATTCTAGCAGCCTCCTCCTCCTCTTTAATTACTGCTAATAGCACTTTTCAGACATTTCCATTGTCACCATCCACAGAAATGTTTGCAGTAATCTGGGGTCATCACAGCTGGTTTTCTGTGGAGTTGTTCATATGTGTATCTATTGATTTATTAACCTCATTTACTAATTGTTGATTGTTTCACATTCATAGCACTGTAATGCTCTTTGGTTTCTAGACATTATGTTACTGCAACCTTTTTATAAATGCAAAATGTATAGTTAAAGCACAGCCAGTTGCCATGGGTAGATACATCAGGTACTAAAGAAAGGTTCCCTTTTTGGTTCTAATGAGAAACCCATAGTATTTAATTTTGTTGCCTTTGGCTGTATCAATAGTTACACTGTAAGATTGTTGTTGCAATTGTTGTTGTTATTCATTCAGATGTAGGGAAAAGGGATAAGCATCCTGCTCCTGATTCATGGGCATGTTAGCCCTTTAGGTCAAGGTGCAGAGGACTACTTGTCCTTACATTCCATCCAAAAACCTCCCACCACCCAGCTGTTGTCAAGTCCTGGGAGGGGTCCCTACCACTATCACTTATCAGTGGGGTTGGGAAGGAGACAGTTAATATACTATAAAGCTCCAACAACTTTTGGCTCTTGTTCAAGGGGAAAAGGTAAGTACTCTCCATTTGAGAACACGTCCTTGTTTCTTACCTCACCCTACTCCCAACTGAACTGAGACCATCTCTTCTTCATTTTCGGAATCAGACCCTCCCGAGGTCCCTCCTACTTCCAAGAAGTAGGATGGCATGGAACTGCAGAAGTAGAGCTATGTACTTATTTAGGCTCTTGGCCAATTAACTCAATACATACATTGGCCGAAGTCCTGTTTTTAGTTCATGTTAGAGTTGCCACATTGAATCAGTCGGCTTTGTCTGGACATCAAATTATCATTCAGCCATGTATTCAGTATGTCTATTTTAGCTGAAATTAACCAGACTGAGCTGGTTCAATTATAGGGCATGATAATGATGATCATAATTGAATATCTTGATTGATATTGTCACATATGTACCTTTCTTTCATTCTGTGGGTCTTTCTGCACCTTTCTATAAAAGGAAAAATAGATTTTGTGCTTTTCTCATAACAAATCAAAATACTAACATTATTTTTATTGTATTTTTTCAATTTACATGTTCATAAAAAACAGTGAAACAAATATATATATATGTATGTATGTATATATGCATGAACCATGTTACTACTTAACATCTATACAATATTCATATTTGGTTATATTTTCCCCTCCTCCCACCCCACTCAATTTATTTTAAACAGGGAATTCAATATTTTAAGTGTTCTAATCACAGCTATTGAACGGAAACAGAATGCTAAAGCAATACACTGAACTTTAGGCTATTATCTGCGATTTCTTTTCTTCTCGTTTGACAGAGGACAGTTATGGCACGGATGGGAAGGCTAAACTGCCAAATTTCACAGAAAATGTCAACTGGCAAGGGCTGGAAGATTTGTACAGTGTGAATGAAAGTTTGTATGAAGCCAGAAATGACTACAGACTTACTCCTGATGACTGGACAAATTACTTGAAGGATGTAGATAGAATCTTTGCACTGCTGAACAGTTTTTCTGAGCAAAATGAAAGCGCAAAGACTCCGACTGCTCATCCTAGTTGGTACTTGGATGAATCCTCCACACCATTTGCCTTGCTGGAAATGAGCTCTGCTGAATCAGATGAAGGTTCAAGTTGGTTGGTAACCCAAGCGGCACAGGTGATCATGCCAACAGATTTTGGGGCCCTGGCTTTGAGCACAGTTATGTCAAGGCAGGAGAGCCAACTTGAATCAAGTAATGATATTCCTGCAGGAAAGAGTCCTAATCCACCACACTGGAGTAGACACCAATCTAAATTATGGCTGGGGACTGAAGAACCAGTTGATTTTGAAATGGATTTCAGTGGGAATGATTTGACAGAGCTGGAGTCCAGACATAGCTTCATTTTACAAACAGTTAGCATTCTTCAGAAAGGTTCTGTCCCAGACAAGGAATCTGTGGATGACATTTTTGAAGAACAGACTTACCTTCCCATGAACTCACCTGCCAAAGTAATCCATCGGGCTTTAAACACTGTCATTGTGGAGCCTAAAATGGAGAGGGTGCTAAGAAAAAGGGAATCTTCACAGGTGCTTAATGTAGAAGAAACTGTTTTGACACCCCTCCCCTCAAATTAGGTTGTGTAGAGATACATGTTTCCTTGCTAATTAATTATTTAACAAACAGAAATAGCCCTGAGCACAGATATTCTGATTTTTAAAAATGATTACACCCTTTTAAGCAGAATGAAATGTATAATGTATGTTCTACATGCACATGCATAAGTTCTAACATTCATATATCTAGAAGAGCAAGAATGCCAATGCTCAAAAGAAATGGCTATGTCAGACTATATGATACCATGCAGTGCGGAATTATGAAGTCACATTACAAATATTATAAAGCTGCCTTCAAATGTGGCCTGAGCCATTTCTCTATTGCAATAATGACTTGTCGTAAGTAAATGTTTCTATCCCCCTAAGTTTTTTATTAAATAATTTTAATTAACAACTTTAACCACTGAAATTTGATACTGTCGGCATAAAATTATATTGCACTTTTTAATAATTGTGTTCCATACCCCTTATTCATCTGATAGTCTTACAAGTTCTTGGTTTTGCTAATGGTGTGTAATTTGCAAAACAATAAAATAGGTTGGTAGTGAAAATGGTATGAGGCATAGATTGTGAAAACTAATTATCGGAACATTGAGCAGAAAGTAATGTTTGATTTTAAACCTTTATGCTCAACTTGATTTATGGTAATTTTTCCTCAGATAGTGCTAATTAAAGATTTAATCAAGAAAGGGCAAAATAACTTTCAGTTTCAGGGTTTTTCAATGTCAGGAGCAACTTGGTAAACTGCAAGTTGCTTCTGGTGTGAGAGAATTGGCTGTCCGCAAGGACGTTGCCCAGGGGATGCCAGGATGTTTGATGTTTTACCATCCTTGTGGAAGGCTTCTCTCATGTCCCCACATGTGGAGCTGACAGAGGGAGCTTGAATTCTCTCTCCCCAGATTCCTGCTGGCACAAGGGTATGACCCACTGCGCCACCGATTGTTCACCAGTTTCAGTGAACAAGAAATTAAAAAATAATTAAGGCTTTCAATGTTCAGGGTTTTTTTTTTTTTTGGAAAGGTTTCATTTCTGATACTTAGGGGGAAACCTTGATATTACCAGAAACTACAGGAGGTTATTTTAGACTTGTGAAATATGAACTCAAATCCAAAGAACAGGTGCCTACATAAAAACCCGATATGCAGTATTCCACGCTACTATATGCACTGAAGCATGGAATGTATTAATTTATGAAGGAGATTGCGTGGTTGAATTACTTACATTTTTATCTACACAATGCAGTCATGCATCTTGCTTCTGTGTCATACAAAATGCTGGGTGATTGCTATCCATATTAATGTAGGCTTTGATTATAGACAAAGAATCTCCTAGACTCCTATGGGATGTATATGTAGAAGGATTTGTCTAATTACATCAGGAAAGAAATGAAACAATTCCCTTATTTCCCACAGTGCTTAAGTGAACACTGAAAGGAGATGGAATGAAACTGTTGAGAGGGAAAATACAGTATAATTATCAAAAATAAAAGTACAAAAGTATACAAATGTAAAATGTTCATTTTGGTGCAATGTCCACAAAAGTTAATTGCTAAGCTTCACCGAGCATTAGATAAAAAAAAAAAAGGTAAAGGTTTCCCATTAACATTAAGTCTAGTTGTGCCCGGCTCAGGGGTGGTGCTCATCTCTATTTCTAAGCCGAAGAGCCGGCATTGTCCATAGACGTCTCCTAGGTCATGTGGCTGGCATGACTGCATGGAGCGCCGTTACCAAACATTACATTTTTTAAAACCTCAACTTTCAACAAGAAATCAACAAAAAGATCTTAACAATGCTATTTCTCAGTTATCTGGTTGATCTGAAAGTACATCTCTTTTGTGTGTTAAGATAATCTATTAACACAATTTGTTTAAATGGCGGCATTTAAAGTTAACCTTTAAAATTTGCAGTTGAGTGACCTATGGTGTTAGTTGGGACTGAATGATTTCCAAGGAAAGCTTGTGATGGGCTATGTAAATTCATTAAAATGAACTAGGTGTTTATCATGTATGTGTCATGAGCCGAATGACAAAACAAACTTATTTATGGGCATGAATGATGCTGTTTGTATATAGATTTTACATTATTAGGCTATAAACTGTGTACATGTAAAAATATTCTGCAATACTTTTATAGAACAATTCTGACTTCAGGAAAGTCTAGAAGCAATATTTCATGAAATAAAGAGCTCCTGTACGTGTTTCATAAAATTTGCCAAATCAAATTTTCATGGTGGTCAGGGAAGTGCTTAATTGAACCAGTTTTTGTCTACTATTTTTGAAGTACTATATTACATATGCATTATTGTTGACTGGAATTGTGTATGGACTTTACATCCATGTAAAGACCGCAATTGTGGTGCTGCACACTGACTATAATTATGGTGCTAGACACTGAATTCTAGCATGACCAACCCTATCCTCACTTACTAGGCAGTCACTGGGGCAAACAACAGAGGTCTGTTACATGTATGTCATTCAGAAAGCAGTTGGTCACCATTTCCACCCCTCCCATAAACATTCACAATGCAACAGGCAGAAAATGCCCTGTTTCAGAATCTTCCTTCACAACAGAGATTACTTGGGTTACTGTGAGTTTTCTGGGCTGTATGGCCATGTTCCAGAAGCATTCTGTCCTGATGTCTCACCTACATCTATGGCAGGCATCCTCCGAGGTTGTGAAGTATATTGGAAACTAAGGAAGAGAGGTTTATTTAGTTGTGTGATGAAGTGCGAAGGTATCCAGCTGCTTCCTAAGCAACAGGGCAATTGGCCCCCATCATTCATAGTAGCTGCTTCCCAGTAACTATAGTCTGGTAGACTTTCACAGGGCTACGTCAGGGCTATATGGAGTCACAAGGTTGTAACTCCAGGTTACATATGTCATATTTTGGATATGTAACTCCAGGTTATGCCTTCATAATAGTAATACAGGATCCTTGCCAAAATCCCCAAATAACACAAAGCAGGATGCATGGTAGGAATCAGAAAGCCTACCAGATATTGTTAGCTATAACTCCCTTCTCAACACTGGCTTGTTGCCTGGGTCTGCTGGAAGTTGCAGACCCAACATAAAGTGAAGGACAGCTTGCTTCTACCCCTGCTCTCCATTTTATGAAAGATCAGCCTTTTGTCTCTTGATTAAATTTGTCAGAAACAGATAGTATTTGAAAATGTGCAGCAGGCTCCTAAATGATGAATGGTTCTGGATCAGACTGCTCAGAATTCCATTTGAATTTCCATACAGAATGCTCTAGTGTGGAATGAGCATCATCTGCCAAAAACATGAGCACATTGTTACAACAACTTCAAAACTGCATCAGGTCATACTAATGAAGAAGTTCTGTGTAATTGTAATAGAAGTAATAGGAACAGATAGCAACAAAGCTTGAAATAAAACTTTTACCTTGCTATAGCTCAGCAAAACAGGCAAGTACACCTAGACTAGTGTTGAGACAGTGGTCTTAACAAGGTAAAGGCATGTCCTTACTTTGCACTCCTATGTTGCTACTTAATATTGTCACAAATACACACCTTTTTTTCAACACCTATTCTCAAAAAGGTTTAACTGCCATGTCAGATAATTCTAATCAGCCACTGGATGTCAGTGTAACACTAGGAAATAGTCTTTATCCCAGGTGAAGGCTAATATTTCTGTCTCCTAATCCCTTGTTCCCATCTATGGCAATTTCAAGAGCCTAGCATAACAAACTAGCAGAAAACTGATGGGAAATGAGATATAAAGTAGTGCTCCCCTACAGCCACACACCACATCTCTGTTATCCACAAATATGTTACACAAAAACAGCTGGTAAAACACAATTTTTTATTTCAAAATGTCAAGTATTGAAGGGTTTTCTTGCAGACAGATGTTTACCACCAAGTTTTCTTCGTACAGTGTATTCAGATGAACTTGTACACGGGCTTTGAAACCTTTTCTTTATTCCATTAAGACATAAATATTAGTAAAAGTCTTTCCTAAAATGTATTTCACAGAAATCCATGACACTTATATTTTTGTTTCCACAGATATAATTGATAAACATTTTTATCTGATACTCTCAAAAACATTTATTCAACATAAACATCAACACTTTAAACTAGTTTGTTCCTTGATTAATACCTTTCCTCCTCTTTCAGGCAGTTCATTTGAAAATACACAATATACTGCTATTTCATTTCAAGCCAATGGCAAAGGTCCCCTGTGGGTGTGAGGAAGTATAGTAGTATTTTTTTAAAGTAACAGTAATTCAAAATGTCATATTCCATAGAATATTTAGGTCATCCCTGCAATGTTTGTTTACTCATAAAAGTATCACATCTTCCCAGTAAGTATAAAACATTCATTATAGTACAGTACACATTTATTGTTCACTATCCATTCTGTTTTGCAAGAGGAATAGGCTATTACCTATTAAGATAACAGGTAGTCAGAAATCTGCTTGCCCTGACATTCACACCACATTTTCAGTATTAACCCCAATAACAACTATGCTGTTATATAGGAGGCACATCAATGTGTATGCTTTGTATGTGCTCAAAAAGTACTCCCCAAAATCTTGACAAATTGGTATTTGCTATTACATCTGTTCAGCAAAACTTTATTATGTCTTTAAAACATTAATAAGCTGCTTCAGCAAATTATGTTTACAGCCTTACAAATTACAGTTGCTCCTTTTGGTTTAAGGTATATAAAAATAATGGTTTAGATTTGTTTTTCTCAAGCAAATGACCAATTTACAGAGCAAGAATAGGCTAATACTATGTGCACTTTTTTCATAGGACAATTCAGATTAAGGTAAGCACATGCACTTTTATGAACCTATCCAAAATATTTCTCATGCCAGAAAGATAATTTCACTGCTTTAGCACCATTTTTAGCACCAGTCCAAAGGTGATCCAGTTGAAGCAATCTTTCTTTTTTCCTGGAGGAATTATTCCCTCTCTTGGCTGCACTAAAAAAAGGTGGGTTGGAAAATGTGCTGTCACAAATATAACACAGCAAATTCGGGCTTCTACACCTTCCATTTTGTATCAGGGTACAAGAACAGTAGGGTACAGTATAAATAAATTACACAATAACTGGAATTGTATACAGCCAAGGCTAAAGCATTCTACTACAGACAATTCTGGATACACTTTCAAATTGCAGGAGTAAAACCAACATGGAAATAACTGTACACAGAATAATGAATAATTTGAGGCTGCATTAGGTTTGTATAAATACCCTTAATACTACAAGTATAAATATATATTTACATTAATATTTATGGCTGTCTACTTCCGCATATATCATGTACATCATAACCAAGTACTAAATTAAAACTTAAAACCTAATGGAGGAGAAAGGAAGGAAGGAAAAAAATACCTTCAATTACATATTGAATATTATTGTTGCCCCAAAGGATTTTCTCCTGTAGTTCATTCCTATCTGAAAGGGATAGAATTGAACAGCCAGTAAATGAATTGTTAATACTAGGAAAGCAATTAAGCAGCACAGCCAGGCATCCTGCTGCTGCTTTAAGCAATCACAATGACAGGGAATGTTGCTTGCATAAAATATCTGCATGATCATGAGCAGCATGTAGAAGATGCTGAATAGCAGTTTCCCTGTTTTTTGACGGAAAGCAGTGTTTTCTTCAAAACACAGAATGACGATTTGCAGGCTGTTCGTTTTGTATAGTCTATTTACATCTAAGATATAAAATAAAATGTATATTTTGTTCCTGAAAAATGTGATTTGAAACATCTGGTACTAATCTTATGAACACTGACACACTTCTCCCTTTTACGATCTCTTCAGAAATACTCCTTTATTACACTCTTTTCCCAGCATGTATTACATCTGCACCAATACAAATTAAATATATGCAATGAGCCATAGCAGCTTTGAGCAATGATTGCAGACCTCGTGCCTAACGTTCTTACCATCCTCCATTATGAATTTTCCAATAAAGCTTGTTCTGTACTATAAAGGTAACTGGAATTCCCCCCCCCCCGAGTTTTCTCTCTTATAACCCCCCCCCCCCAAATAATTTTAGGGGTGCACAAAAGCTTTCTGGCAGCATCTCCTTAGGCTGTAACGGAAATCAAAGATGCACTTGCTCTGGGTTTCAAGACTTCCCTGTCTAGGAATACAGGGGACTCATCTGCAAAGGAAAGCTTCAAAATTTTGTTGCTTGCACAAAGCTAACTGTTTGGATCATCAACCACAAAGGACAAAAAAAATCTGATATTAGAAGTAAAACTCCTAAATGAGGACTACGTCACAAAGTTTTCTCTGTTGTTGCTCTCTGAGGTGTCTGAATCACACCTTCAGTTGTAATTGAACTTTTCTATCTCTACAATGGGGCTTAAAATAAAGGATCAACAAGCTATGATAATTTTGAACTGAACAAAACCAGAAATTTAGCCTGGAACATTCACTCAAAAAAAAAAAAGGCAACATTCAACTGAACAATTTTTTCCTTAACATTTTTTTAAAAACCTATGATGTTGCCATACTGCCAGCTTCAATATAATGTGAGGTTCATCTCAGACTGCCACAAGGTAGATTTTTGGTTTTGTTGAGTCTATGAAATCTTGAAAGGGAACTTGGGAGACTATAGCAGAGTGGTAGACTAGCTCCTAGTTGCAGAATATGCAAGTACTAAAATGGTTTTTAGGTAAAGTTTGTTATGTTTTAAGAAATACTGAAAAAACTGGTGCCTATAATTTTGCAATATCCTAAACTGAGAATACACCATGCCATGCTAAAATTAAATTACATTGAGAGGCTAACAAGTAACAATTAAAACTTTATTATGACTTAGAAATTGAGACTTTATTTGGTAAAGTCTGCTCTGTAACTTCAAGTAATTCTTTAAAAAGAAAACATATTGCGTAAGTACATTGCATTATTTCAATGGCCTCTTTTGCAATTCAGTGATGAACTTTTGAAGAAAAATACCCAGAGCAAAAAGTTATCCAACTCAAGTTGCATAGCTGTGAAGAGTCATAGTTGTGCTTTGAAAGAGAATGCAAAGTAATGTGTCTGTTCTCCAGTCCAAAGGTTGTGAATGCATTGCTTTATCATCAATGATAATGTAGTTCTTAGAATCATTAACCATTTTAAACATTTGCCTGAATATGAGGATCTCATAGATGCAGTTGAAGTACTTACAAATATAGTTTAAAACTCCTTTTCCCAAAGATAAGAAAGATTGACCTGGGTAGTTTGAGGTATCCAGCCCTCAAATATGCCATGGCTCTGTACATTAAGTTCTGATGGTTTGTTATCTATTCCAGATAGCTTTATCAAGAAGGCACGGGTGTTTCAAAAGGCCCCATACTTAAAAATAATCAACAAACCAAATCTGAGGTTGCCAAAAAAGGCACACTCTTATATCTTAAGAGTGGCATCTTCAGAAGCCTTCTCCAATGCAGTGTTTATTGTTTCTGTAAGGGGCCCTGGATAGGTCTGTGCTGTAGAATGCATGCTTACACCCAGACTCGTATCTTCAGCACGCTCACCTTGAGAGCTAAAGGTAGGGCAAGATCTAGTCCGCGCGTAGTTTTGTTGCATTCCAGTGTTACCCATCGCTTCACTCACTGTGCTGATATGTGAATCCCTCCACATCTGCCTCTGCAGCTTCTCCTCTTTATACTTAATGGAATACCATGCAAGGAAAATGAATAGAAATCCAACACATTTCAGACCAGCTGCCAAGCCAAAGTAGACAAAACGAAAGGATGTCACATCGTATTCCCAACACGATCCTTGCACACCACACTCCTGTTGCCACAGCATGCAGGTGGTGTCAATAACAGCTCCAAAATAAATTGGGGTAGGAATGTATGCTGAAAAAAATTAAAAGAGTAAGAAATTGACACAACAATCGCTTTTGAAAAGCTTTAAAAGAAAGAACATATCATGAAATCAAAAAGAAAGGGCAGATAATCTTGTGGGTAAAATCTTTAAGAAATAGGAAATTTAATGGGCAAATTACTTGACTGGATCCCCAATGAAGGCTAACATCAAAATTACAGTTCCTTGCAATAATGCATTTTGAGCCAGCGTGATGTAAGCAGTTTGAAAGCAGGAGTATGAGTCAGGCTTCAAATCCTTGCTCAGCCATGGAAACTCACCTTAGGTAAGTTATATGCTCTCAGTCTCAGAGGAAGGTTGAAAGATTTACTTTAGGATCTCCATAAGTTGGAAACCATTTGGAAGCATAAACAACAATGAATCAGGTAAAGTGTGGTTTTTCATGATGAGAAAAAGATCCTCAGGTCTGTGTGCTCGCCTCCCCTATTACTCCCCTCCATCACACTTGGGAGGTTGAAAGGTTTTATCCAAGTTTTAGTTTACCAAAGTTTAGGATACTGTTTTGCTTCAGATAAACCAGTCAAAGTGAACTTCACCATGTTAGATGTGGATGGCACCAAAAGGTGCCATTCATCAAAGACAAAAATTAATACTTACATTTTCCTCATATCTACAAAAAAAAGGCTACATATTTTATTGTGGTATCTGGATGCAGTAAGTGTAAATTTGATGAATACAAGATACACCTGTTCACTTCTACACTTACCAAGGGTTCTTAATAAAACAAATTGCATTCCAAGTGCAAAAGGCCTCTCACCATCTTCCACAGACCTAAAAAGACATAGTAATTTCATAATTTTTAAACTGTAAGATATATTTACTTTATTAAAAAAAACTTTAAAATATTCTGTATGTGCAAATACTGTGAATTGTCTTATCCAAATGCCAGTGAGCCCCATAGAGTGCGTAGAGGCAAGCAGTTTAATAAAATCATATCCAAAAGCTCAGAAAAGCCAATTTAACCAAGGAGGCAAACTGAGTCCCTTCTTAATCAAAGGATATAAAAGAAGACATTATTATTATTATTATTATTATTATTATTATTATTATTATTACTACTACTACTACTACTACTACTACTATAAACATAAGATGAGTCCACAGCAAACAAGATCACTCTGCTGGTTGTTGTATTGGATCACACGTCAGACACTTCCCCAGTGTCTAGGACTTTGTGACGTATCGGTGAATAATGCATGCAGATCCCAGTAAGGTGGCCTTTTGCAGCTGGCAGCTGGTAATTTTGTCAGCGCCAATTGTGTTTAAGTGCAGGCCAAGAGCTTTAGGCATATGCACCCAGTGTGCCGATCACCACTGGGACCACCTTTACTGGCTTGTGCTAGAGTATTTGCAGTTCAATCTTTAAATCCTCATATTGTGTCAGCTTTTCCAGTTGTTTCTCTTAAATCCTGCTGTCACCTGGGATTGCAACATCAACGATCCATACTTTGTTTTTTAACACGATCGGGAGGTTAGGAGTATTATGCTTCAAAATTCTGTCTGAATCTGGAAGACCCAGAGTAGTTTGACATATTCATTTTCTGTAACTTTTTCAGGCTTGCAATCCCACCAGTTCTTTGTCGCAAGCAGATGGTATTTGTGGCACAAGTTCCAATGAATAATCTGAGCAACATTTTTATGCCTCTGCTTGTAGTCTGTCTGTGCAATCTTCTTGCAGCATCTGAGAATATGATCTATTGTTTCATCTGCTTCCTTGCAGAGTCTAGACTTGGGATCTGTTGTCAACTTTTCAATTCCGGCTTTGATGGCATTTGTTCTAATGGTTTGTTTTTGGGCTGGCAGAATCAGGCCCTCCATCTTCTTTTTCAAAGTTCCATTTGTGAGCCACTCCCATGTTTTTCTTTGTCAATTTGGATCTCAATTTTTCCCAGGAACTGTCCATAGAGAGCCTTCTTTTGCCAGTTTTCTCCTCATCTCTGCATTGTGTTTTTATGGTATTCACTCTTTGTCTTTTGCGCTTTAAGCAGTTTAGTATTGACTTCCCTCAATGTTGGTTCATGACTGCCTTTCACATAATCTGCCAGTGCATGTTTCTCTTCTTCTACCGTATGTTTCACATTTATTTATTTAGTTAGTTAGTTAGTTATTATTTTATACTCTGCTTTTTCTTTCCACAAGGAGACTCAAAGCATTTACATTAAAAACATTTCCAAACAAGTAAAAATCTACAATATACAAACATTAAAACCGAATTAAATATCATTGGTATTTTAAAGATTGAGCTAAAATCTATAAAAACATTCAAATTAAAAATCACAGCACTCCCTGACTTGATCTTTAAAACCTTCTTTTTTAGAAATCCTGCCTGAAAAAAGATTTTAGCCTGTTGCTGGAATTCCAGAGGGGCAGCAACTGAGAAGGCCCTCCACCTAGTTCCCACCAACTGAGCTTGAAATGGAGGTGGGAACGAGACAAAGGCCCTTCCTGAAGATCTCGGGGCCTAGGCAGGTTCTTAGAAGGAAATGCAGTCAGCCAAATAGTCTGGGCCTGAGCCTTTCAATAAAATACAAAGTAAAATGCTCCAGACTTTATTTTCTTGTAAATTACCTTTCCATTCTGCTCAGCATTTAGGAAAATGCAACAGCTACTCTGCTTATTAGAGGCAGCACTCCTCTGACCTTCAGGTTTACAGAAAGAGTGGAAATAAATTCATGCCTCTTGATATAAAGCCTAGATTTTCTGGGTGCCTGCAGTACATCAAGTTGGTTTAGAACACTGCTTCTTCAACTGGAGGACTGAACTCCAAGTGAGGTCCCCTTAGCTCAATGTTGGGGTCATGAAAATTTTGGCAACAGTAAAAGGTTTCTAAATGCCACCCATTTACACAAATCTGTTAGCAACAATGTGCAGTGTTTACAGTGGACTCTGCAGGAAATGTTTCAGCTGAATGCCACAAGAAGGAAAATCAGCCTGTTTAGCAAGCCTTGCAAATACTGATTTATTATCAGTAATGTGTGATTTTTATACCTACTTTATATACCTTTATTTATTTATTTATTTATTTATTTATTTATTTGCTGCATTTCTATACCACTTTTCTCAGCAGAGCCACCAAGGCTGCCCAAAACAATCAGTAAGGAGTTGATGGAAAAGCCTCAGTTTAGGTAATCCAAGTAAGTAGTCCTCACACATCAACAGATGTTACAGGTGCCGGGCAGCAAGGAGGCAAGGCAGTGGGGGACATGGGGGCTCCATGCACAGATGTTGCTGGTGCTGGGCGGCGAGGAGGCTTGGGCCCTTAAAGGGCCAGGCAGTGGGCGCCATGGGGGCTCCCTGCACAGATGTAGCTGCTGCAGGGTGGCGAGGAGGCTATATATCTAAGGTCACAAAAAAATATCAAATGGAAAGGGAGTGGAAAAGAGTGGAAAGGTTTAAGAAGTCCTGGCTTAGAAAACCCATTAGTCATCATATTAAGCATTCTCTGACACCATTAAAATGGAAGCCAATGATAGAACTTCCTAACCTATTATGGCCATTTATAGAAAGATCTCACTTATGTTTTACCTCATTCAGAAACTGTACTCTCATTTAAAAACTAGAAAAAGACCACAACTCCACAAGAAGAAATCTATGAAGCAGAGACAAGAATGCTATATATTGTTCCTAAAAATCTGTTCCTAGATTAAGCAGGATATGGAAATTGGGCGTTTTTTAAAAAAGAGCAATTCACCACATACAGAAATTGTTATGCCAAACAGAATATAAGGGTTTCCCTCAGACCCGTGGTTCTCAACCTTCCTAATTCCACGACCCCTTAATACAGTTCCTCATGTTGTGGTGACCCCCAACCATAACATTATTTTCATTGCTGCTTCACAACTGTCATTTTGCTACTGTTATGAAGTGTAATGTAAATATGTGATATGCAGGATGTATTTTCATTCACTGGACCAAATTTGGCACAAATACCCAATACGCCCAAATTTGAATACTGGTGGGATTGAGAGGAGGGATTGATGTTGTCATTTGGGAGTTGTAGTTGCTGGGATTTATAGTTCACCTACAATCAAAGAGCATTCTGAACTCCACCAACGATGGAATTGAACCAAACTTGCACACACAACTCCCATGACCAACAGAAAATACTGGAAGGGTTTGGTGGGCACAACCTTGAGTTGTGGAGTTGTAGTTCACCTACATCCAGAGAGCACTGTCAACTCAAAACAATGATGGATCTGGACCAAACTTGGCCTGAATATCAATATGCCCAAATGTGAACACTGGTGGAGTTTGGGGAAAATAGACATTGACATTTGGGAGTTGTAGTTGCTGGGATTTATAGTTCACCTACAATCAAAGAGCCTTCTGAACTCCACCAAAGATAGAATTGGGCCAACCTTTCCACACAGACCCCCATGATCAAAAGAAAATGCTGTTTTCGGATGGTCTTCGCTGACCCCTCTGACACCACCTTGCGACCCGTCCAGCGGTCCTGACCCACAGGTTTAGAAACACTGCCTTAGACTGAATCAACTTTCCAATAAATGACACTATGTAACAACATTTGAAAAAAAATCTGTTCCTTGTTTGAAAGTGCTATTTCCTGTTTAATTGTGCAGTACTTACTTTGAAAGTAGTTGTTATACTCCAGAAACTTCATATTTGTGGCTGCTATTTTTAACCTTTCATATGCCATTTTTAACCTTTTGTACAAACCGCAAAAACAAAGTTTTTGCAGTTAAATAAATCTTTTCCATGTTTTTTATGATAGAACCAATTAGAAAATGACATTTATAACGCAAGAACAAAAAACTGTATTTACATAGTGTTAATTGCATGCTCAGGAACCCCTGGTGACGCAGTGGGTTAAACTGCTGAGGTCGGTGATTTTTAATCCAGAGAGCGGGGTGATTTCCCGCTGTTAGCCCCAGCTTCTACCAACCTAGCAGTTGGAAAACATGCAAATGTGAGTAGATAAATAGGAACCACTCCAGCAGAAAGGTAACGGTGCTCCATGCAGTCATGCTGGCCACATGACCTTGGAGGCGTCAACGGACAACGCTGGCTCTTTGGCTTAGAAATGGAAATGAGCACCACCCCCCAGTCAGACATGACCTTTTACCTTTTTTTAACTGCATGCTCATGATTTATAATGCATTCAATGTATTCCAAATGGGAAAACATTAATCAAAGCAAGTAAATGTATTAAAATTTCCAATAAAACGTTTAAAAAACAGTTAAATTAGATGCTACATTAAAACCACCAAAGTTTAAAACAACGTAAATTTATTATATTGCTCCCTTCTCTTTCTCTTCCATGTACTGGGTGCACAGAACAGCATTCACACAACAAGGACAGTAATCAAGATGGTGTTGTTGATTATCAGCTAAGATATATCCTGATGAAGTAAATATGACAGGGATATTTCTTTAAAATGTATACTGAAGAGTGATGGTAGTCATTAATGCTCTAGGGCAATGACCCCTTACCTAAGCGTTACTATGATTGCTGATGGCTGAGCACAAGCTGTGATGAGCGTAACTATAAAGAGGAATATAAGGAATGGGATGAGTGTATTGCAGGTTCGATTGCACTTCCCAGACACAGCATAACCATTCTCGTTGAGATAGGTTTTCACAATGACCACCCTTAGTTGGCTGCGCTGCCCAACTGTTGGTGGGGTGATAACTTGTCGACTTTGGACACAGGCACATTCTGTATAATTTCTTATCTGTAAAATGAAAAGGAGATGAATTATCCAGATTTTGATTTGCATTTTACAAGAATATCTCACTTCCACCAATTTCAATACAATGGGTAAAATGACCCCAAAAAATAACAAAATGGCTTTCTCGTGTTTTCCTTGTTACATCAATGAAGGGTCTGGAATGCTTGCAGTCAAGAGTCAGTAGGAAGGGTTTTATATCCCTTCCTTTTAACCCTTACATTACAATAGAGATGGGAAACCCTTGGCCTATCACATGTTGCTGGACTACATCGCTCACCATCCCACATCATTGGCTGTACTTGCTAAGCCTCATGGAAGTTGCCATTTGGAGGACTAGAAGTTGCCACTCTCAGTCTACAAGTGGTTTTTTTCAGAATTTTAAAAATATTTTTTCAGCAGTTCTTGGAAGCAACAAAGCCTGAATTGGGATTTTCTACATGCAAACTAGGTCCTCAATCCATTAAACCGCAGCCTGGGCCCAACAGCAGCCATTTTGCATAACTGTATTTTTAAAATGGAAAAATGGATGCAGTACAAAACATCAGTAGTATTCTTGCTGATAAACTTACCCCAGTACTATGATTTCCACTACTGATGCAACCAGCAAGACAAGGATTGAAATACGTGATTCCATCAGATCCACACACAGGTTCATATTCATGGATTTTACAGCCACAATTGACATTACAGCTGCCAGTCAGATTTCTGTGCGTCATTGTGAGGGTAGGGCTACAGAAAAGGGGAGATTATGATACTGGTGAGATGCTGATAAAAATCCATAGGCATATTCTCAAGTGAAATTCAAAAATTATTTCCTCACAAAATCATTCAATGGTTAATACAATACAACCACCCATTTTTCTTAATAACTGCAGTGGACAGAAGCTCCATTACATCTTTTATGCATAATAATAAACTTTATTTATATCCCGCCCCTCTCCAGAAGGACCTGGGGCATCACAAGTATACAGATTTTTTCATTGCTTTATGGATTATTCTTTACTCTCTACATGACTATTCTTGGAGAAAAGCATTCTATGGCCAGCATCCAATCCTGGATATTATAGCATCTCCATAAATTGTTTCAGCACGCTGAACTTTTTCTAAAAGTGATTTTTTATCACAGAATTTCTTGGATACACACTTTGTAAAGCCATAATGAAATGTGGTCTTCATATAATTAGTTACATATTAACCTTACTTCTCCTCAAGAACAAATATACAAATAGATATAAAATAGATTTTTACTGTTTTATATGTTGTTGTGGTTGTTGTTCTATATTTATATTTATATCCCCACTTTATCTCTTCCAAAGGAAACTCAAAGCTGCTTAACATAAAAGCATTAGCATACAATTAAAAATATACCAATATGCAAACATTAAAATAGGATTTAATTTAAAGAGTATTTTAAAAATCCCAGTTAAAACCCATTATAACATATTCACTCAAAAATCACAACATCCCCTGAATTGATCTTAAAAACTTTCATCTTTAAAATCCTGTCTGCCGTGGAGAGGAAAACAGGGAAGGGGCCATTCTGACTTCCTTGGACATAGAGTTCCAGAGTCGAGAAGCAGCCTTGACTTTGGAATTTGATATAGAATCCCTGTAAATATTACAGAAAAAGCACAGAAATTTCTGTAGAGTTTTTTGTGAGTTGAAATATATTTAATTTAAAATTTTAATAACTGAATTCATGAGGCCACAGAAAAATGTATATTATTGCTGTTCCAATATTATTTTGCATTGCTTATAAAATATAAAGATTCATTCTTTATAATTCCTATCAATTATAACACTTCCTTCTTTGGATTTTCATTAACTAATATATTTCCAAATTTCAAATACCTACACATTTTTCATGCTAATGAGATATTAATTGAATCCACATTTTATTTTCAAATCCAATGTAACTTCCTATTGCTTCCAGTGGCTCTACTCCAAGCCTAGATCCAATTCACTGCACTCGATTGAGACTCTGTCTTTGCTAATGGAAGATCTTCATCCACAAAAAGCTACTATTCGACTTGGGAGGATCATCTCCCTCTTCCACATACAGTATTTTCAGAGGGTCGGAAAAGTTGCCAGAGAAAAGCAGAAACAATTTTTTTCTTCTACCAGTCCAATGTCATATGTCTAAATCTGGCTTCAACCTAATGCATTTACTAAATTACAGGTAAATTTACACCCTGCCTGTCAATTCCCAAAAAAGCTCTCACTGCAATTTATACTCCTTTTAAAAAAACTTGATGGAAACGTAACACCTAGGTCACTCAACTAAAAACACAATGATACAACAATGAAGGGCACAGCAAGCAGCCAATTGCTCCCTTGAAAATACAAGTTCCATGTTAAAGGCTTTCCTTAATAAAAAGATCCTTACCTACTGGTAGAAGCTAAATAATATTTCTAGTAAGAGACTAAAGTATGGACAATGTCGCTGCCTAGACAGTAAAACATGGCTGTTTTAGGAGAAGCACAGAGTTCTTCAGATGTCTACAGCAGAAATACTTCCAATCTATTGCATATTCATGATCAACACTGAAAAAATATTACTTAACTGGGAATATCAGCTCTCAGTAAACAATATGGTGTAAAACATAAAAGCTTTCTGAAAGCTTATATAAAGAGTATGATATTGCATGAATAAACAAGCAATTATCAACAGCAGCAATAAAAAAACAGCTTGAACTGTAATTTATTTCACTTTGCCAACTGGATTTGGAAACATCTGTTGACTCTTCATTATCAACAAATGATGAGATTTCCAAATGAGACCTTTTACACACTAAAGCTCTATTCAAGCATCCAGGAATGGGTTTCATGGGGAAAGGGAAACAACTATCCCCAGTTTTTCTCTGATAGACTGACAGAGCATTCGGAGGGCTGGTGCTGGTTTATGTAGACCAGACTATATTTAATTTTCAGGAAAAACGTTGGAGATAATGGGCTCAAATATAATGCCCCCCCCCAGGGGGGACGGGGATGGAGATGGGACTTGCTGATCTCCCACAGCAGATAGCTTAAGAAACACTAACATAAACAAAATGGTCTTCTTAAAACTGTCATTCTCTGCACGTACAGACCTACAAGAAAGAGGGGTATTACTCTGATCTCCACAACATATACTCCAAATCCTATATGCCTTGAACATGGCTTAGGTAGATCTAAAGAGCAGAACTAGATTCTCAGTTGCAACTAGATTTACCAGCTACAGTACTACAACAACAGAAGGCTGCAGATATTACTAGAAAATAAAAGGTGGACTTCTTCCTGTGATTATTTCAAATACCCAACGCAATGTGAGCAGAAAGATTCTTATATACGGGGAATTTCACACCTCCTTTTCTGCTGATTGCAACAACAAAGGCCATCCTCTTGCTGCAAAGCCAGCCTTGGATGTGAAGTGGAAGCATGCTGGAAGAATCATTTTTTTAAAACATAGAGGCATCTTACCTGCATTCTATACATGCAAAAGGCTTCACCTTAGTTTTCCAATATTCCTCTTGCCCACTTATATCCCAGCTTTGCCCAAGGAATGCTCAGCTCTCAAGAAGGAGGCTTCAGCGAAAATGTGGAGCTCATCCTGTGTTGGATGCAAGGGTGTACACCTAATACTGTAAGGATGTGAACAGAACAACTAAATTTGTATATATGTTGCAGAAGAATGCTCACTGGCAGCAGTGATTAGCCACAGCTCCCTGCAGAGAAAGTGTCAAACCTAAAACTAAACTGGCATATGAAACACCATGTGTGAAAAAGAATTGTTTGAAATAGTTCAAATCCTCTGAATAAAACAGCAACAAGCCACACACCCAGTTTTGATATACATCTAGGGTCACAGCCTGGAGACAAGACTGCTTCAGTTATTTTTTCAATACTGCAAATATTAATCAGTTGAATGCTCATTCTGGTTCAATATGAAAGCCCTGCTTTGACTCCGGTGGCTTTTCGTTGGTTTTCTATTTGGTTTTTATGCAAGCAAATTCTTCACTCTAGTTACCTATCTTCCCAACAGCAAAATTCAGTAAAATGTAAAAACTACTAGCCAAGTCCCAGATATCAACAAATAGATGTCATTTATGAACTCTGAAGGTAGCTAAAATTAAACACAATTAAATTGGGAAAAGTTATGAATAATGCTGTGCTTTAATTTGATTCTGCCTTGAAAGAAGAGCTGAGACTGTCATGCCTGGTGCTTTAAAAATGACATGACAGCTGATTTCGCCCTGCCCTCTAGAACATTTTGTGAGCTGTCGAGGCTTGTCACTTTGCAGTCCAATACAGCTGCAGCTACAGCAAACATGAACGTATGCTGCTTGTAAACAACAGAATTTGCTTGTAAACAGACAGCTCATTGCTCAATCTGTTCTATTTTTATTTTTCCAGATGTTGAAGTACCAATTTTTATCAATCGTACAAAACAGTTTACCCATACATCTCAGTACTTTTTACTGTCCAATCCACAAAAGCACTCTTTTGTTCCCCCATCAACCAAGACATTTTTCTCCCTAACCTCCCATCAGACCCTACTTAAGCACTTTCTCCTGTCTATCCAAGAAGTCTTTCTACTTACTCAAACCAAGTGTAAATTGTTCCCCTTATCCAAATAGTTGTCCTTTATATTTCTTCAAACACTCATGAGGGCTTTGTTGGATCAGACCAGAGGTGAGGAAAATGCAGCCTGCAGGCCACATGAGTTCCCAGGGGAAGTATTATAGGCCTCAACATCACCTATGTATTTCACACGTAAAATGAGTATTTTGCCCCCAAATGCAGCAATTTTGGTTCAAAAAGACATGTGGGGATACACCCCCCCAAGTGTGGCCAGTACCACTCCCAAGACTTCAGCAACAGATTTGTCTGTTCAGGTTATGGCCGAGGCCTTTTGTAAACCCCACAAGAAGGACAGAATAGAAGTTCAATTTTACGCTGCATACAATTCTGGCATCAAATATTAAGAAGTACATTGTTTCTGATCCTGCCCATTATATGAGTTGATACTTGCCTCCTTCATATCATCTAACCCCAATTATATCCTACTAAGTCATGTAATGACAGCCCCAAAAGGTATAAAAATGAGTTTTTGTCTCACAAAAGCTAAAAGGAGCAAAAAACTAAAGAACAATCCATAGATATTTGTTGTCCTTTTCAGTATCTTTCCTAGCTCTATGATATTTTTTTCAACTGAACCTTTCATAATTGTACACAATACTGGAAGTTAATCTTTACCATAGGTTTTATATAAAATGCACTATAATATTGACCATTACACTTTCCATCCTAATAAACCCCTTATTAGAGCTGTAGCAAAGTACTGGAAGCGAGAGCGAGCTTGTGCTCGAGCTCGCTCCGAAGCCCCGCCTTTTTCCCCCCGAGGCTGCTTTCTCTCTTGCTAGTGTGCCTGTTTTCCCTTGCTAGGGAAGCGATGCGAGTGTACTCTTGCAGTTGGCAGAATTCAACTGTGAGCGTACGCTCGCATCCCTGCCCTCTGCAATGGAAAACAGGCACGCTAGCAAGAGAGAGAGCAGCCTCGGGGGGAAAAAAGGCGGGGCTTCGGAGCAAGCCCGAGCGCAAGCTTCCTGTAGTTTGCTGCGGCACGAGCGTATGCTCGCAACGCTGCCCTAGCAAAGGGAAATAGGCGGAGAAAGAGGCGGAGCATCGCTCGTGCTGGCTTAGTTTGCTCTCGCAAAATCCTAGTTTGCTACGGCTCTTAAGATAACTCT